TACTTTAAAATCTCGTATGAATATTGATAATTAAATCAACTGCCTTTTAAGCATTGCCTTAATATAAATAGCTATTATTCTTATAGTAATTTGTATTTTATACCTTCTTTAAACTATTTGAGCGATTTGAATGATGAACGAAACAAACTTATTCTAAAACTAGTAGTGTAGAGCTTCGTCCGTTAAGGCAAATTGCTGGAACTTCCTGTACTGTAATGAAATATTCGAGAAATATTAAATGTATTCAAATAGATTATTATAAATACTGAACTTATGTGTTATAGAAAAGTAAATAAACAAAACTTAATCAATCGGATTTAAAATTATGGACATTGTAAGAATAATATAAACTAAATTGCAAAGTTAAAATTATTCATTTAAAGTATATACGTGAAATTTAAACTTTATCTAGATTAAAATTAAAATCCGAATTACTGAAAAAAATATTTTTTGGAAATTAAAATAAAATTCTTATATCAAAAGCAATAGTTTTATCAGTACAAACAGAAAGTTTTTTGAATCATTCAAATCGGATACTTATTTCTCTCAAAAACTGCCATTTTTGGAACATTTAGCTCCGTATCTTGAAAATTAAAAAAAAAACCGCTGGACTTGCAAAAAACTAATCACTACTTCTCCCCGTCATTACGAATCGAATGTTTTTTGGATCATTTAAACCTATTTTCTGCTTTCGTTGCTCCGTTTCTCTGAAACGACTGGACCTGCCTCTGACTAAAACTAATCAGCACATCTCCTTATCTGTAGGAATCGATTTTTTTTTTAATCATTTAAATCGGTTTGAGCGGTGCTTCCGCAAACGACGACGAAAAACTGTATCCAAACATACATACATATACATACACACATCCATTTTTTCTGAGATATGCCAAAATGTTCAAAAACCTTCAAAACGCGAAGAAATGCAAAATTTTTCATTTTCGATTTTTGGACCATTAAATTTATTAGTATGGGTGTTAAAATTTAAACTTATTCGATGATCATGATGTTGACTTCTAGTGGTCAATATAAAATAATGCTTTGAATTTCTTTTATTAATCATTCGATCATTATAAATGTTGATTTTTAATGTTAAATGATATGTTTTCACAATATGTAATATGTAGTCAGTTATATTATACATAATTATTCTTACATACATAAAAATTCTAATGCAAAAGCTTCTACAAAAACTCATTCAAAAGCGCAATTGAAATCTTTTGGCTGGGTCATAATTTATTTAGTAAAAATACATTTATTTAGTTCCTATTCTTATCAGGTTTTTGGAATATCGAATTCTTTATTGCTAATGTAAAAAATTAGTACGAATTATCTGAAATATATTCCAGTCTGGTCTTTTCTGAAAACAGATGATTGGTTCTAATTGATGAACAACCTTGTTCGAAAATAAGTTTATTGATTAATAATAATCTAATTTAAATGTGTTCTACTTTTTATCTACATTAATAAGAACATAAGTTGCAAGGATCATCATAAGCTTAGATTGTCTTAACTTAGTATTCGATTTCTGTAAGTTAGTTAAGAAAGCGAAAATATTAGAGTTGATTTGGTTAAATTGTATTGTGCTACAATTTTGGTTGCATTTAACGTTTTTCGACAACTTGTTTTTTTTTAAAGATACTTCTATCACAAGCTGAAGAAAATGATTTCATCTTATGATGAGCAAATAGTAAGATCAGAGAACAGCTCATACACACCTGCTTAACTATGAGACTTTTGTGTTTTGTCTTACAATTGTGATCAGTCCAAGACACCAACACCTTCTAGTCCTAGCATTTTCTTTTTGGAATTCAAGTTACAAAATAAATCATCATTTTTTAGGAAATGGTCGCCTCTCCCGAAAACTTGTTGTTTTATCTTATGATACTTCTATCACAAGCTGAAGAAAATTATTTCATCTTATGATGAGCAAGTAGTAACACCAGAGAACAGCTTATCCAGACCTGCTTAACTATGAGAGTTTTGTGTTTTGTCTTACCGTTGTGATCAGTCTAGGACACCAACACATTCTAGTCCTAATATTTTCTTCCTGGCATCCAAGTTACAGAATAAATCATCATTTTTTCTTTTAGCAAATGGTTGCCTCTTCCGAAAACTTGTTGTTTTTTCTTCAGATACTTTTATCACAAGCTGAAGAAAATTACTTCATCTTATGATGAGCAAGTGGTAAGACTAGAGAAAAGCTTATCCAGACCTGCTTAACTATGAGAGTTTTGTGTTTTGTCTTACCGTTGTGATCAGTTCAGGACATTAACACCTTCTAGTCCTAGCATTTTTTTCTTGGAATCCAGGTTACAAAATAAATCATCATTATCACCTTTAGGAAATGATCGCCTCTCCCGAAAACTTGTTGTTTTATCTTAAGATACTTCTATCACAAGCTGAAGAAAATTATTTCATCTTATGATGAGCAAGTAGTAAGGCCACAGAATACCTTATCCAGACCTGCTTAACTATTAGAGTTTTGTGTTTTGTCTTACCATTGTGATCAGTCCAGGAGACCAACACCTTTCAGTCCTAGCATTTTCTTTCTGGTAGCAAGTTCAGATAACAGCTTATCCGAAAACAGACGTGCTTACCTATATGAGAGTTTTGTATTTTGTCTTACCGTTGTGATCAGACCAGGACAACAACACCTAACATTTTCTTTCTGGTAGTAGGACCAAAGGAAAGCTTATCCAAAAACAGACCTGCTTACCTATATGATAGTTTTGTGTTACCATTGTGATAAGTCCAGGACACCCCCACCTTCTACTCCTATCACTTTTTTTCTGGCAACCAAGTTACAAAATAAATCATCTTCTATCCTTTAGGAAATGGTCGCCTCTCCCGAGCCAGCTCCTGGTTATGCGCCAGCAGACTAAACTTGGCCCGCAGGATGTTGCGTCGAGCAAACGCTCTGATCGTCGCCTTGGAAGACCCTAGGGCTGCTTCGCCCCCCAGAGACATGCACTCTCCTCCTGCTACAGTGCACGTCACACAGGCCGTCGAGGTTTTGGAAGTCGGAATCGCACATGTCGGAGATGTCGGACACGTAAGTGGAAAAGATACACAAAAATAATAGCAAACATTTATCTTTTATTATTTTATTTATCCTTTATCTTTTATCCAGGTTGGTGTTCCAAATATAACGATATTCCGTGAAGCAAGTGACCCAACGGTGACAGATGAAGCTGTTATTCACATTGGAGATCCTCAGCAAATGGACAGCCAGGAGGCTCCACCAGAGCAAGAGACAGCAGCAGAACAGACGGAGGCATCTGCACAGCAAAGCGAGGCAGCTAATACTGCTGGACGTAGCACTCCACAATTGGGATCAGGTAAAATATATACAATATATATTTTGAATATTTTCATATCATATATTTTATCATTTTTATTTGTGCAGGTGTGAACTCTTTTATGGAGACTGTGCTTCCATTGAAAATTGTTTTTTTTTTTGTTTTACTTTTTTTTAATATGATGCTTCTTAATGTCGTACAAATCACACAATGAATTAACAATAATTAATATTTAAGATGTTACAATTAAATAAATTGTATAAGTAATTAAAAATCTTTAATATTTCAATTAAAATTTTCAGCACACAGTTCTGATAGTTTGGCGAGCACCGACAGCTTCACGTCGGCCAATGAAATGCCTGTAAATGCATCAGCTCAACAGTCTTCGACCAATCAGGAGTCGGCAAACACTAGCGACAGCACTGCCAACAGCGGAAACAGATCGCAAAGGTAACTAGTGGTGCCTGGCATCGTGTCTTAAGGCAATTTGCTAGAACTTCCTGATAATATTTAATTTATGTTGTAAATTGAAATTTTTTCCAATGACAAATATCCAAAGAAAACTTTTTTTCGAGCAAATTTAGCCCTTAGATCCTGTTCTTGTACAAAGTATTTCAATATCTTTTTTTTACCACCATAAACTAAAATGTAATACAAAATAGAAGTAGATATAGTTTTGGAAAAATATAGTGACAATTACTATTAAAAAAAAAAAAAAAAGTGTGTGTAAGGTTCATACGCGATTGAAGTAAAATACATCATATAACAATTTTGAATAATGTTTATTAGTAATATGGTAACACTTGTGATGCACACATTTATTAGTGTTGTCAATCATTATACACATTTATATATTGATAAATTATGAATTATATATTTATAATAGCATTAAAAATATGTATAATATTTAAAAACAATAATGTAATTAAAGTCATACTTCAAATACGGCATGATCGGTTTGTCATTGTAATTACCATTTAGAAATGAACCTTAATTAGAGAGATGAAGTAACTGCTTGTTAATAAAATCTATAATATTCGTTCACACAGAGGATTATGTTAAACAACGCCTAAACAAATATTGTTTTTGCAACTTCACTCATTATGTAATTAAAATTAACATACATTCATTGACTGCTTGTATTTTTTTTTTACTTTTTCGCTGGAGTAAAATCTCATTCTTTGAACAGCTATAATATCTGCCTTGCCTAAAAAATATTTTCCATTTTCTATTTTAATTTCACTTCAAAGATTTATATAAACTACGAATAATATAGAAATAATTTCTAATCAATAAACTTACGCTTAGTACATGGCACAAATGTTTAATTTGTTTCATTATTTTCACAGAACAGGGTAAAATATTCTTCTGATTCAGGCATTTTTCATTAAATCAAGATTTGTACTGCGATGTAACTTTAAATTTTTTATTTTTCTATGCCGATTTCTTTGTTGATATCAGTACGCATACAACGTTGATGCCTGTACGCAAACATCGACAGATCTCTATTCACATACACGACAACTAATCACAATCGACCCGTATTGAAATGATTTCATCGCGAGCGAATGACGTACAGTTCGGGCGTAACGCAATTTCCGTTGCATTTGTACGGATTTACACCCTAATCGCGCCTAAAGAAGTTTTGCTTTTAAAAAACTTTTCTGGTCAGTAAATTTATATATATTATTCATTTTTCAGCAATTCTCGTCCAAATACACCATTGGCTCCTCTTGCTGCACTTTTAGATGAACTGAATGGAGTGCAGGCTCGTTTGCAGCCATTCCTTCTACAATACCATCAGATTTTGCGGACTGATCCAACTTATCCTGATGTAAGTAGAATTTGGATGAAATTGAGAATAATTATATAAGCAAACTTAACAGACATTGTTTCTGTTTCATTATTTTCATGATTGATATACATTCTTAGGCCTGGAATGATGAGACTACTTCTGTGACAAGTTATTGATCAGATTCATCAACTATTCAACTCAGTAGAATTTGTATTTTATAAACTTAAAACCACATCAAATTATAACAAGACAGAAAATACTTGTATTATATTTATAACCAGTTACATTTTGTGCAATTTCTGAAGTAGAAGTTTATATTTTTGGCAACTGTGATCTTTTTTGCACAATGATCGGTCAAGCCATTTCTTTGTATTTAGTAGAAAAGTGAAAGACTTTTGTTGTCTATGTTTCAGCACACAATCCTGAACCAATTTTAAAATTTCAAAACCTTTTTGAAAGATAATGATAATGTATTAATAAATTATATCTGCATATCATTCACCATTTTTTATACCATTCAATTTATACCTAATTGTTTTTTATTTATCTTTTAGCATGAAACAGCAGCAAATGCCCAACGAATGTTCAACCGTGTATCCCAGATTCTGCATCTCTTGTCTCATGCTTATCATATCATAAGCGACCTGATGGTTGATTTGCATCAGAACGCACCAAGATTTTTGACCTGCAGACCGGTACTGATGCAGAGATCAGTTGTTGGTCGAGCTGGAATGCCAGTAAGAAAAGTTTACACTAGTATTATAAAAAACTTAATTGTTTAATTGAATAATTAGTAATAATATATTGATTGTTTAAATTGTTTTATCCAAACTGATTAAACAAAAATTTTTGTAGATATTGTTAGAAACTTGACATGTTTTTTCCTCATTTTTTGGTATTGGTTAAATTTTTTTTATTGATCCAATGAGCATTCTTATCTAAATATGGATCTGATCCAGTATTTTATTCTTTTTAATTGTGTCCATTAAAGTTTATTATCAAGTTAAAACAATTCTTATGATATGTTTGTTTGATATCTAAGTTTAAGGCCAGGTTACGATCCATTTTCCATACATTATGCTACTGAATCATACTGAATACTGTTAAAATGTCATGTTTTTGCTGTGCATTCAGGCGCTTTACACATGAACTGCAACATCACTCATATGTTATGAAGCTGAGTCAGAAAGGCCCTGTTATCTAAGATAGTTTTTTTGACATTTGTGTGGTTTCTAAGTTAGGTTTTCTATCTGAAAACCTTAGAAAAACGCCTGACAGCACAACCACATGGTTTTTGACAATATTTAGAACAATTTTGTATGGAAAGTTCTACATAACATAGCCTTGCCATAACATTGGTGTGTTTTGCAGCAGAATCGATCCATAAATTTACACATTATTAAATTTTTTTGGATACATTAATATAATATTTCATCAAATTATTTGTAACATTATAAATATTGCTTGAATGCAGTATGTTTAATATAAAATATCCATTCTCATTTTGGTTTATTTCTAGACTATTGTAACGGAGAATTTTGTAAATGAGGTTCCCAACATCACTATTTCTACAAACTTGTCTAATGGACGAAGCAATGGTACAGCAGCGCCAAATACTGCTTCGGCTGGAAATAATGGGTAAGATAAAATAATATAAAGTAATGCATTTTTTAACTTCCCGAAGGAGAAGTTTGTTTTCATAAAAGAATCCGATTCGCTAATTTTGTTTTCTCGACGTTTCAAGCCATTCTGAATCGAATGAGACCAAATTTGGAAATAGTATGTGTGTGTGCGTGCGTGTATGTGAACAGATTTTTTTGCCGTAAATCGACGTTTTCTCAAAAACGACCGGACCGATTTCATAAATTTAAAAGCCATTCGATGTATCTCGATGAGGATTAGCGTTTATCAATTTTGCGCAACGATCAGCCAAGCCGTTTCTTTGTAAATAGCAGAAAAGTAAAAAAATTTTTGTCCACGTTTTAGCCCGCAATTCTGAATCGATTTTGAAAATTCAAAAATTATTTGAAAGATATTGATTGGAAATCGACCTGATTAGTTTTTGGTAAAGATCGGCCGGGCCGTTTTCTTGTAATGAAGTGTTAAAAAAATTTTTTTTGACGATTTTCATGAATTTTTTTTTGGTGATAGATGTCATGGTCTTCTAGATCATACTAAAATATTACGGCCCTACGACAAGTCGTTTAATTTTGAAAATTTGTCAAACTTTGCAAAAATTAGTATTGTTTTTTTGACGTTCGGCAAAATTAGAACTTTCATCGACGTTTTCTCAAAAACGGCTAGACCGATTTCAAAAATTTAAGTCAATCGATGTATTTTGATGTAGATTATCTTTTCTCAATTTTGTACGACGATCTGCCGAGCTGTTTCTTTGTAATTTGGAAAAAAGTGTTAAATTTTTCGTCTACATTTAAGCTCATACTACAGAATCGATTTTCAAAAATCAAAAACTGTTCGAAAGATATTAGTTGAGAATGATAGTGATAAAATCTACCAAGCCATTTTCTTGTAATTAACTGTTGAAAAAAATTTAAGTCGACTTTTATGGAACTTTTTTTTGTTCATAGTCTTACAGAACTTACTGAAATATCACGGCCTCACGGCAAGTAGTTTAACTTTAAAAATTCATCAAAGTTTGAGAAAATCAGTAGTTTGTTTGACGTTTGTTAAAATGAAATTAAAATAAAATGTAAGTTAAAATGATTTACTTGGTATAGAGTGTTCGTTAGTTTATTTACTTTTAATCACTTATAAATTAATTTATATTTTATTAAGTCAATTATTTACACATATCGGGAAGTTCATGTAACTTGCCTCAAGGCTAAATACCAATACCAACTAATTTTGTTATATATAGAATCAAGATTATGTCTGTGATCTTTTTCACAAACCATATTTGGTTGATGGTGGATTATTTTTTATATAAATTACTTTATTTAGATTAAATTTAAATAATAAAATGAGAGTTTCATGTTTACTTGTCTGTAATCTTGATGCAATTTTGTATCATGGTAGAGGTGATAGTGAAAACAAACCTGCTGCATTATTTTATAACTGTGGAAAGTTTTTTAAATTTTGAGAAAACTTAGTAAAGTCAATATATAAAACCAAATAAATATTCTTTTTGGTACAGAGTGCCCTAGAACTTAACATGAAGCCGAAATGGGGTGATAGTATTTTCCATAACTGTTCTTTGGTTGAACTTTTAAGTTCAACCTTGAGCTTCGATGAAATTATTATTATTTTTCAGTTTTTGTGGTGCATTTTTATTAATTTTGTACATTTAATCTTTGGATTCATAACCATGAGTATTTTTTCATTGTTATTTTTAGGTTTATATTTTTAACTTCATATATTTTAAAAACAAAGTAATTTTATTTCAAGAAATCTACTTTTTTATGTTATTTGTGCCACATTCCATAGGCCTATAATATTTTAGAATATCTACTGTTTTTTAAACCTCTTATTACCATACAAATATTCATTGCAAACCTACACATAACACCAAATCATAAATAAAAATGCTCAATGATAAATTAATAATTTGTTAATATAATAATTGCAATGCATGAATGTGATAATTCAATCTACTATATTTGCAGTACTGAAGGCAATGCGCCAAATGCTGAAGTTCCAAGTGATTTTGGACCTCACAGCCAAAACTTTGAATTCAGTAAGTATAGTTAAACGATTTGAGTAAATTGTATACTTTGTTTTTTGTATTATTCAATTTTATATTAATTATTTAAATTATTTATTTTATTCTTTTCACAGTTAAATAATATATTGGATTATTATTTATGAATGATGTATTATTGTTACAATTATTGTTATTGTTTTAATCAATTGATGATCATTTCAGTGCTTCCTGATGGTTTGGCAATGGGTGGCAATGTGGAGGTCGTCATGGAGGTGTCTCCGAGGTTCAACAGACCTATGAATAATACCACAGAAGGTGCTCCGACAGCAACCACAACTGCAACCACTGGATCCAACAATACCGGTAAATAAATGATAATTCGAACATAACATCAAATATTTATTTATTTTTTTATTTATTCATCTTGTGAAAACCGTGAAATGAAATTAATTTTCTTTAAATTAAAAAATGTTCATTGACAGAAATTGAGATGAAAAATGATGTAATTAAAAATAATCCTTAACAAAATAGGGGTTTGTGATAAGTATAAAAAATTGCGCAAAAAATGAGCTAAAAATAAAAAAAAAACATTTGGTTTCGATTAAAATTTCCAAAATCCTGTATTGGATGTATAGTTTATGAGATGTATAGTTTATAGCATATACCAGCGGTTTCCAACCTGTGGGGCGCGCCCCCTCAGTGGGGCGCCAGGCTGCCCTAAGGGGGGCGCGTACAACTGTTTCCAGAATACTATTATCGAAAATAACCCAACATTTATGGAACGTTATTAAAAAATAAACAAAAAATATTTAGTTTTTATGAATATTTTTACATAATATTGCATATTAATTTGTGGTCTGATAATATCAGTTGAGTATTTATTAAATTAAACAGTTAAAAAAATAAGAAGGGCGCGATGCTAAAAAGGTTGGAAACCGCTGGCATATACAGTTTATGGGATTTATAGTTTTTAGGATTCATAGTTCAGTTTTTTTTATAGATGTGTTATTTCCAAATATGAGTAACAAATATCCTATCTAAATATATATTTATCTCATCTTTCTAGGTGCAGGCATTACTATTCCCATGCCCGAAGATAATCGTATGATAACCCAAATCATGCAGGCTGTGGCTGGTCAAATAATCAACCGTATGCAAGCTGGGGGCACACCCTCAGTGAACGTAGTCAATGTTACAGCAAGTGTCTCAAGTGCTCCCAATGCTCAGACTAATAATAATACTGCTCCACAAGCAGGTAAATATAAAATATTATATATCTAGAATTTGGTAAGGCGTTATATTGATTTTTAAATATTTTGTTTTTAGGGCAAAATTCTCAAGCTAGGGTCAACACGGCTACACATCCTACAACTTCGACTCAAACCAGGTCCACTGCCAGGCCCCATGTTCAACTCAGACAGGGAGGTGGAATACGATTGCCATTTGGGTAAGTAGAAAAAGTCCAATTTTGTTTTTTGACCTTTCAGGTTGTTTTGAATCGAATGAGACTAAATTTGGCAAAAGTATGTGAGCCGACCATTTTATCTTTTGTTGCAGTTTTCTCTGAAAAACTGATGGTCAGTTTTCAAAAATTTAAAAGTTATTTGATGTAGCTTAGGATTTATTACATACTAGCTGACCCGACAGACTTCGTCCTGTCAAAAAAAATCTACCAAATCGGTTCTAATTGCTCTGTTGATCTTTAAAGGTTGTACCCAAAAGCCTCAAAAGATTTTGTATGTGCCTTCGTGCATTCATCCCAAACAATCAATTGATATTGCTGCAAAACTTTAGCCATTGCACAGTTCTTCGAAATGTTGCAAGTTGGAGTTTCATTGCTTTGCATATTTAACACTATTCCTACCGACATTTCATGTTTGCTATTCCTACCGCGACCGGTCAAATGACCGGTCATGCAAAATCTATATTTTTCAGTATTGAATGAAGAGTTAATGCTAGTTTAATAGTTTATAAATACAAATACAAAATATTTCTTTTATTTTAGAATGCGAAATCTACATTTTATTCTGTTTTATCCAATTTATTACGATTTTTTTTCTTAGAGTGTATTTTCTGCACACGCATTTTTGACGTTTTTGGCTGATTTTGTTTGCCATATCATCTTTCTAAAGTATTATCTGGAATATTTTCTTTTAGGGAATCCATTTTGTACTTGTACTTAGCTAACTTTTTTCTGGATTCTTGATGGAACTATACGATAAGTTAATTGGAATAGAAAGTTCCTGCCTCGTACATCGTCTTCCCGTAATTTCTTTATGTGACAACAATCGATTTATCCTGAATAAATACAAAATAATGTAAATCCTTGATAAATTCTCTATGAAATTCAAATTTTATCGAATGATTTCTGACTATTTTATGACTGACATCTACACCAAACATGACGCTAATACCAATTGAATTGACTCCCGTATTAGTGTAATTTTTTCAACATATGTGTATGTAAGTGAAAATTAGAATCTTCTTTCTTAGCTTCCAAAATTGTAAATATTATTTCAGTGATGAAGTTCTTGATTTTTAGTTCTACCAGTATTTGTAGTTGTTATATTGATTCAATTGTATCTACCATAACAGTTTTTTTACTAGCAGTTTAGCTGTATGTAGGATGGTAAAAATGTTATATTTTTTTGACATCTTATTAGAGATTTTGATAATACAGTTTTATTTGTTATAAATCTTCAAAGAAATTCTCAGTTTGCTACGAATACTGGATGGTTATCAAAATTTTACTTCCTATTTGTGCGATTATTATGCCCAGCAACATAATTATATTTACATCATATATTGAACGGTTACTAAAATTTATAAGTTTTCCTGAATATTATTGAACATGTGGTAAATAAATTTACAAATTACCTTTCTTGAAAATATATGTTTGTCGATAGTAATACGTGGCCTTTTACAACAATTTTGGTTGCTGTCAATGTAGTTGAACCAACCCTCGGATTCAAAACAAAACTATCATTTTGTTGTTTGGATTCCTTCGTAAAAATCTATCTACACATAGACATTGAGCAAAAATGAGAAAACCCACTTTTTATACAATGTCAATACAATATAAAGTATAAAGTACAATATTTATACTCCTTGCCTCATTTGCGCAGCTTGCATACAAAATTGAGAAAATGCATATAAATTTGCAGAATGTAGTTTTTATCACTCTAAATTCTTCTGAATTTACATTTTCTTATAAGTTCGATTATATTCCTTACAATTTCTACAAAAAATGACGTCCGAACATCGTCTTTCGTACTACCGGTCAAATGACCGGTCGCGGTAGGTAAGACAGTATACAATTTTTTTTTCCAAAAATTAAAATTGAAAAAACAAATTTACATTGAAAAATGTTTCATACTCACATATTAGGAAAAGTCATGAAGTTTGATGACGATTCAATTACATTTGATATGAAAATACTAATCGAAAAATCAAAACGGTCATTTGACCGGTCCCGGTAG